GGGAAAATTTTACAAAGTATTTTAAAGGTTTTAACAAGTGTTTTGGCGGGAAAATTGTGGGATCACTTTTCCCGCCAAAAAATATTTTGTATTTTGTGGACCTAATTTTGTTTCAAATAAGGGTAAAATGGTCATTAAAAATTAAAAGAGGGGAAACTTAAAAATAGACTCTCAAAAGGGGCATTTTTGAAAAAGAGTATTGAAAAAGGGGCATTTTTAACAGTTTCTCTACTATTATTCATAAATCATATGCAAAGCTTTAAAATTCGTAATTAACCAATCAATTCTAAGTACAAACTTATATATTACCTTGAACCCGACTTAAAACAAGTAACATGATAGCACAAGCAAACATGAACAGTGTAGCAGATCTCATATCTTTTTTTTTTTTGTATACGGAAAATTATATTTTGTTTTAATCTCTTAACTGTAAATTATTACTTATAGTTTTGAGATATAGCAAATATATCCAAACACATGATAATAATAGTTGATTCTAATTAAAGACACGGACAGAACTAAGTCAACACCTTTATTTGCGATTACTAATAAAATTTAGTTAATAATCATTTAAAACCAAGTATTTTCTTGTTTTATTGTTTAAAGTAAAGCAAGTAAATTTGTTGTTTAAAATAAGGGAAAATTCCCAAAAAAACCCATAATAATTTTTATTTGGACATTTAATACCTAATACTTTTGGATTTGAAAAAAAAATACCCCACCTAATTATTTGTGGTCATAAAATTTTTTATATATAAATTATCGGCAAAACTGATACTTTTAAAAAAACCATTGATGTATGTATACCTAAAAAAATCGATACATTATAGCAGACCTCATGCTTAAAAATACTTAAAATTTTTTATCTCTTGATGTATGTATACGTAAAGTCATATCCCTTATATATTAATTGAGAAGCATTTTTAAAAAATAACCTTCTCTTCATGTGTGATTAACAAAAATGTCATGCTGACGTGTCGTTCTAATAGGCCTTCTCAATCTATTTAATTAAAAACCCAACATTTATTAAGATATTTACAGATTTTGCCATTAGTTTTACTTATATTTATTTTTTCCACTTAATTTATGTTTTTTTATTTTACTCAATTAATTAAAACGAAAATACAATTAAAATATGCAATTAAGATATAAAAATATATACAAAATGAAGTACTTAATATTTTGTATATTGATTAATATACCCAGATATATATCATAAATTTTGATAAACATAAACATTAATACATAAATAAAAATTTCACTAATCTTGATAATCATTAATACACCACCGTTTATCTAATAATATAAAAACCGTGCACCTTCAATATCATCAATACATTAAAATTGGTTTATAATCGTTTTGTCCCACACATAGTGCGGATTGTTATCTAGTTTTGTCTTAATCTCGTAACAATCATATATATCCAAATACATAATAAAAATAGTTGATTCTACTAATAGATAACGGTGGAGCTAAGTCGAACCTTTATTTGTGAATATATGTAACCAAATTTGTAAATAATCCATCAATAGGCAAACAATGCCTATTAACAAGGGACGGTAGTAAGAGGAGGTTAAGGGTGTCATGAGACTCCTATAAAATTAACATGTAACTATTTATAGTGTAAATTTGATTGAATTTCGTAAATTATTTGATGAAAATTAGGTTTTGATCCCAATAATTTTTTTTTACAAACTTCATATGCATCTACTGATTCATATTTCTTCCATCTATTATTGTAGTATTCAAATAATACTCCCTCTGTGTCATAAAGAATGATTTTTAGGTTTTATTTTTGTATAAAAAAAATAGATTTTCTGTAAATTTTTATCAATTAATGTTAATAAATAGTGAATTTCAAGAATCATTAATTGAGAATTTTAAAATTTGATGAATTACTATTGGTTAATAGTTATGAGAAATGGTTTAGTATGAATAAATAGTGCATTTATAACTAAACATTAAATGTTTTTCTTATTTGGGGTGAAAATTCTATAAAATCAATCTTTTTGATACAGAGAGATTATTATTTTATATTAATAACTTTTAATATTATGTTCTCCATTTCTAAACGACGAGACATTGTTGAGACATAACATATGTACAACCTCTTTCCTTCCTTTCTTAATTGCAGTATAAATTATTTTCGTTGCATCTACTAATTTATACTTCTTATGCACCTACTAATTCATATTTCTTTCATCTATTATTATAGTATTTAAATAATATTATTTTTATATTAATATTATTTTTATTAAACCTCCATTTCTGGACGACAAGAGATTTTTGAGACGCAACATATATAGAACCTCTTTCCTTTCTTTCTTGATTGCAGTATTATTTTCGCAATCGAAGTTCCAAAATTTGTAAGTAACCAATCAAAACTAAACACAAGCTAATATATTACTTTGAACGGATCATAGAAAGTATTACAATGGAAAATAAACATTAGATATTATTCATGTTTTCCATTGATAAATAAGTAAACTTAGCAAGCAGTTTTACACCTGCAGCTAAGTTCTTTAGGCATACACACCTGTGTTGGAAAACTTTTTTTTTATCCTCCACAGCAAAAGCTTCTACACACGCTTTGGGATTGTTTTTGTCACCAATATTGGAACACCTAAAAAGTCGATCAGAAAATATTCATGCTACATCACACACTTTCGCCTTTCGAGCCTTTATCTCTGAACCACACGATATTACAATAAACAATTAGAAACACAATAACTAAATTAACCATGCAACCTCTTTCCTTATATATTTTCTTAATTGCATTAGTATTATTCCCAAATCAAATTCAAAGCTTTAAAATTCGTAACTAACCAATCAATTCTAAGTATAAGCCGATATATTACCTTGAACCCGAGTCAAAACAAGTAACATGATAGCATAACCAAAACATGAACAGTGTAGCAGATCTCATCTCTCTCTTTTTTTTTGTAAGCAAAAAATTATATTTTGTTTTAATCTCGTAACTACAGATTATTACTTATAGTCAGGGCCGGTTATTGGCATGTGCAAGTGGTGCATTTGCACCGGGTCCAACAAATTTAAGGTCCAAATTCATAGTTTTTCTATTATTTAATTATTTAATTATGCTGAAATTTTATAAAATATCCATATGTAAAGGTCCCAAAATTTTATTTTAAAAGGTAATATTGAGGCCCAAAATTAATAAACAAAAATAACATGTCCAAATAGCTATAAAATACAAAATAATTTATGAAATATAACTTTTTGTAAATATATATATATATATATATATATATATATATAAAAATTTTTTATTAAAGATAAGATTTTTTTTTGTATGGCACCGGGTCTTACCGATGAGTGAGCCGGACCTGCTTATGGTTTTGAGAGATATATAGCAAATATATCCAAACACATGACAAAAATAGTTGATTCTAATTAAAGACACGGACGGAGCTAAGTCAACACCTTTATTTACGATTACTAATCAAATTTAGTAATTAATCAATCAAAACAAAACAGTGTTGATGGTGTACCTTTAACATGACTTTGAAAGATAAAAGCAAGTAAATTTGTTGCTTAAAATTATGTTTTTTTGTCATTTAAAAGTATTTTGAGGTGACTTTACAACCACAAATATCTAATTTTAGTCTTAGCAAATAAAATAAAAATTAATTGTAAAGAAAAATTTGGTCTGAAAGGGCTTCGTTAAGAGATTGCTTTTTTTTTTCTTTTTTTTTTTCCTTTTTGTGAGAATAATGTATATTATACTCATGAGCGTATACAAACTAATGGAGTCGGTCTTACTAATTGATAAGATAAAATCAAAATTGATTACCAACTAATCCATTTTTTCTCTCACTTTGTTTTAATTTTCACTTGTTCACCCATATGAGTCGAATCACGCCCTACCAACAAAAAAAAAAAAAAAAAATGAGTCGAATCACATGCATGCAAATCAAGATATGTATATATATTAGCCAATGTCGCTCTAATGAACTACCGAATCACGCGAAAATCTCGACTCCCAAATTTAATTCACACCCAAATTAGTGAAATGTCGAGTAGTTAATTTAATTAGGTAGCAAAATGATCCAAAGCCGTTATGTATTTTGCTGAGTATACTATACTTCACGTAATAATATTACTACATGAATTAAACGTTACCAGTCGTTAGTAAGAATGTTAAATAGGTTGTCCAGATCCAAATGGACATGTCTAAATGGTTATTTACGTGTTTTTTTTTAACATTGATGGTAAAAGTCCAAATATGACCATATCTAAATAAGACCAAAACCAATTGACTGTCGGCATGGTTCAAATAACATGAACACAATTACACAAGAAAACCACAAAATCATCTTTCCCGCCAAAACTGCAAAAACATATTTTCTGTCAAAATCGAACAATTGTATTTTCCGTCAAATCGCAAAATCTGATTTTTCCTCAAAACTGTAAAAATATTTATTTTTGACGGGAAATCACATTTTCCGTGGAAAATGGAAAATTATTTTTTTTTGGCACAAAAAGACATAATCACATTATTGGCGTAAAATATCACTGAGAAAATAAGAAAATGCAAGGAAGCACAACTAAAGAAGAATCACTTAGAGAATCAACATCATATGTTTTTGCATTTGCCGAAAGGAATAAAGTAATTAGACTAAGCCATAATTTTTAAGGAAATGAGTAAGGCAACATGTTCCCCCAAATTAAAAAACTCTAATTTTTAAGATTTATTGGAATTTCCAGATAAATTCGCTTCATTTGTTTGCGGGTTAAATTAGTTTTTACCCCATATAAACAGCTTCAGTTTTAGGCGTAACCATAACTAGACCATTATAATTTGGATTGGTCAAGCCCCATAGTTATCAAGACCATTTGACATCCTAGTCGTTAGCCGCTATTTTCCATCTCGTTTCTCCAATTGGACACAGGGGTATTAAATATGGTGTGGGCGACCATTTAATTTGTATCAAGTACATTACTGGTGTAAGCAGCAATAACAAAATGATACAACGATTTCAAAGTTCAAATAAATGATGGTTACATCCCATACAACAAAAGTTACACAACCTTAATAAATGCTGAAATGAGGATTGACGACTCCATCGCTGCTTTCTCTTTGGCTTTAGCTTTCCATAACGCTCACATGAGAAACATGGTTACATCCCATTCTATGTATTTCGTTATTACCATTACATTGCTTTTCAGTGGGATTTTTGAATCTTGTAACACCACGAAGCTCCACGATGTTGAAGGTGCTACTCTTTTAATTAGTGTTTTTATAGAAACTATTATTTTATTGTTGGCCTCTTTGATTATAACTAAAATTTTTAATCCAAATTTTGGTGTATGATGAATGATGATAATGGTTGAAACTGGGAAGTGAGAGCACTGAAAGAGATAGGAAAGAAGATGAAGAAAAAAGATTGGGACTTTAGCAATGATCCATGCAGTGGAAAAGGGAATTGGATTGTAAACACTAATCCACTTATAAATAGTAATCTCACCTGTGATTGTTCTTTTCATCCTCCTAATTCATCGTGTCACGTTATCGCAATGTAAGTTTTTTTTTTTTTTTAACTTCCTACTTTGTTACAATAATATATAGTCGTTCATATAATGGGTTTTGCTTTAACTCCCTTAATGTATTTTTGTTGTTGTTAAAGTATTATTTACAAAAAACAAAATCAATTAATCTATTGCTAAAATAATTGTATTTTTGTTAGGTGCTTTCTTTAATTATTTTGTTCAGAAACCTCGTTTTATGGATTTTTAAAATCTTTTACAGTCTTTCTTTTTTTTTGGACAAAAATCTTTTACAGTCTAACTTTGATTCTTTAGTTTTATTCATGATGAGTCTCGCTAGTTTAGTTGTCCAAACGCTGATTATCATTTACTGTCTTCGATTTCATTTCCTTGATAATTTCAAATGAATGACTAAGGTAATTCTAAAATATACTTCTAGTTCTAGTTAAATAATAATAAAATTATGTCATTTGGCTAACGGTTTAAAAAAAAAAAAAAATACGTCACAAAATAATGATTCATAATTATTCAAGAAGAATCCAAAAAATTAAGCAAAAGGTTCCTGCTTATATATGTAGCTTGTCTCCCAAGAATACTGAATGACTGATACCTACGAGAGTCCATCGTTTTTTCTTTGTCTGCAGAGTTTTGACGTCGCAGAATTTGACAGGCATTATACCCCCAGAATTCTCTCAGCTGCGTTATCTCAAAACTCTGTAAGAAAAACAAATGGACTTTAAATTTTCCTACTTTCTCAAAATTTAATGTTTATAATGAATTTTTTTATATATATAATCGTGTAATAATGATTTTTGATGCATACGACTTGGTGCAGGAACCTTAACCGTAATTGTCTTACTGGCTCAATTCCTAAGGAATGGGCATCAATGCATTTAGAAAGCTTGTAAGATCATTGTCTTCATTTTTATTTTTTGTGTAATTAATTAATTAATGATTAATGTCTTTTTTTTTGGTTCAATGGACATATGCAGATCGGTTTTGGGGAACCGATTAAGTGGTCCATTTCCAAAAGTGTTAACCAGCATTACGTCACTCCTAACTCTGTATGATTTTTTCTCTTGCTGTGGATACTTGTTTGAAATTGTACAGGAACCTTGAGGGAATATGTTCTAACAAATTTAGTCATTTGAAATTGTACAGGAACCTTGAGGGAAACAGATTTTCAGGACCAATCTCTCCCGAGATTGGAAAGTTGGTTAATCTGAAACAATTGTATATATCTCTCTCTCCCTCATCTCGTTTTCAATCATGTAAATTTTTTCTTTGATAATTATCATTTGACCTTGTTGCAGATTTCTCTCTTCAAATTCCTTTACGGGTTATTTGCCAGAGCAACTCGGACAACTTAGAAAATTGACTGATATGTATGGATACAATAACATATGAAAAACGAATTCCTTGTTTGTTATTGATTTAATATATTTATATTTCTTGTATTTGGTAGGAGGATTAGTGATAATGCATTTACTGGTCAGATACCAAATTCCATTGGAAACTGGACACAGTTATCTCATTTGTAAGACCTTTTTTTTTTTTTTTTTGAGTTTCTAGCTTTCCTTATATATGGACATACGAACTAAAGTAATATTTTGCAGGGAGATGTTTGGTAGTGGTTTGGATGGTCCATTACCTTCCAGTACTGCAGCCCTTACTAGCTTGGTCAAGCTGTATGGCACCTCTTTAATCTTTTCAATGCCTTTCCTCTTGATGAAACAAATTTGCTTTATTTTGTTGTATTTGACAGCCAGATTAGCGATCTAGGAGGAAAATCGTCTTCCTTTCCTCCACTGCAGAATTTGAAGTCTCTCAAAACATTGTAAGTTAAAACACAATTTATCTTTTGTGTATGCAGTAAAAGATATCCTAGAAAACATCCACCATTTAACTTTGGATGCAGGGAGTTGAGGAGATGCAACATATACGGACAAATTCCTAAATATATTGGAGATATGACGAGTCTCAAAACACTGTAAGTAATAATAATCAAGATACATCGAGGAAAAAAAACAGGATAATTAGAGCCGAGCTCTTGATTATGTTTGTTGTGTAGTGACCTCAGTTTTAACCTCTTAACGGACAAGATCCCGTCATCATTAGCCAACTTGAAGTTAGCAGATTATATGTAAGTACTAATTAACTTCGTTCTAGGTAACAAATTATATAAGTCTCTCAGTTTAGAATCTTTTTTTCTTCTCCATGTATGAAGATTATCTTTGAAAACTTTTTTCTATTCAGTTACTTGGCAGGAAACAAGTTCACAGGGGGTGTTCCAAACAGTTTTATCGAAACTAACAAAAATATGTATGGAGATATGACTTCCTAACTTTCAAATGTGACAACTATATATATATATATAGCGACCTTTTGAATTATCTCTGTTCTACTTTTATTTGCAGAGATATATCTTCCAACAATTTCACCCTCCAGAGTTCAATTCCTAGTGGTGATTGTGACCAAGTAAATAATGCGTAAGTTTTTACAAATAACTCTTATAATCATAAACAATTTGCGCATACGTTCAGAAAACGATAATGACGTTGTTCTTCATTTATAGGAATTTGGTGGAAAGCTTTTCCATGTGGAATGAATCGTAAGAAACCATGTTTCCAATTGTAAAACATGATTATTTGTTCTTTATGGCTGTTTTTAATTGTGGTTTCTCAAATATATGTCTTTATGTTTTAGCTATGAATTAGTGAAGTCCTGATTGATGATGGTTTTTCTGTTTTCCTCTGAATTTGGTGTTTTTTTTTTAAGATATAAGGGCTACCCTTGTTACTTCCAACACTTCCCTTGCCTTTTGCCTAAAAGAGAGTGTAAGTTACAACACTGTAATTATTGTCTTTCTCTGAGAGAACCTTATGCATGTAGATTAATATTTATATATTTTTACAAACACTTACGATTTGCAGACAAATATAAGCTGTACATAAACTGTGGGGGAGATGAAATAAAAGTTAAAGAAAAGACATACGAAGCTAACGTAGAGGGTCAACGACCAACTACATTTGTCTATGGCTCTGACAAGCACTGGGCATTTAGCAGCACCGGACACTTCATGAATGATCTTACAGAAGTGGATGACTACACCGTGTCTAACACCTCTACACTATTAGCTGATGCTTCGTCTCCAAGTTTCGTGTTGTACAAGACGGCTCGGATTTCTCCTCTCTTGTTGACTTACTACGGACTCTGTCTCGGCAATGGGGAGTACACTGTGAGTCTCCACTTCGCAGAGATAATATTTACCAGCGACAATACATTCTACAGTCTTGGGAAAAGAGTGTTCGATATTTATGTTCAGGTACGTCTCTGTCGAACCCAACAAATGTAAATCATCATAACATTTGGACACTTATTTATTTATAACTTGCTCGCAGGATAAGTTGATGATTAAAAACTTCAACATTAAAGAAGCTGCTGGTGGATCGGGGAAGCCAATCATAAAGACATTTTTGGTAGATGTAACAAATCACAATCTGAAGATCAGCTTGAGGTGGGCTGGCAAAGGGACAACTACGCTTCCAATTAGAGGAGTTTACGGCCCTATGATCTCAGCCATATCAGTTGAACCTAGTAAGTAATCTTACTTTGATATCTTAATTATTAGCGGATAGAGATGATGGCATTTGTTATTGGCAGATTTTAAATCTCCGGAGCATGATGACAAGAAGAATATCCTACTAATAGTAGGAATTATAGTTGCCGCAGTAATCCTCATTGTGGTCATCATCACAGTGATCATTTGCTTGTGGAAAAGAAGGTGTTACAAAAATGCAATGGACAAAGGTCTCTTAACAGTTTAGCTCGTTACCTATTTTTTTTGTCTAGGTTGCTTCTTTGTGTCTACCAACGCTTTGATTTGAATTATATATACAGAGCTGAGGGGTTTAGATCTTCAGACTGGAACCTTCACTCTTCGACATATAAAAGCGGCCACTAATAACTTTGATGCAGCAAACAAGATTGGTGAAGGTGGATTTGGCTCTGTTTACAAGGTTATTTATCCTCAACTTTCTCTGTTTTTCTACTCTGTGAAAATCTTAAAAATGCATACGTTTAAGAGTGGCTCTCATTTTCTTGGTGTAGGGTGTGTTATCCGAGGGGAGGACGATTGCGGTTAAAAAATTGTCTTCAAAGTCCAATCAAGGAAGCCGAGAGTTTGTGAATGAATTAGGGATGATCTCATCTCTACAACATCCAAATCTTGTGAAACTATATGGATGTTGTGTGGAGAAGAAGCAACTGATATTGGTCTACGAGTATTTGGAGAACAACTGTCTTTCTCGTGCTCTATTTGGTCTGTTCTTCAAATTTACGATTTCCAAAGACTAGAAACCATGTATATCATCATCTATCCGGTGACATATTTGCTAAAAGTCCCTATGTGACAGGATCGAGACTGAAATTAGAATGGCCAACAAGGAAGAAGATTTGTTTGGGCATAGCTAAAGGACTAACATTTCTCCATGAAGAATCTGTGATCAAGATTGTGCACAGGGATATTAAAGCGAGCAACGTGTTGCTAGATGAGGATCTCAATGCCAAAATCTCTGACTTTGGTTTGGCAAAGCTGAATGATGATGAAAACACGCACATCAACACTCGTATCGCCGGAACACCGTAAGTATTCGTCTCTTTAATAATTAATGAGTTCCAAGTATAAAGTTCTCAAGAGAATCATTTTTTCTTGATATTCTTCTATACATTTGCATGTTACAGAGGATATATGGCTCCGGAATACGCCATGCGGGGTCATTTGACCGAAAAAGCAGATGTTTATAGCTTTGGCGTCGTTGCCCTTGAAATCGTCAGTGGAAAGAGTAACTCAAACGTCAAACAACCAAGCGAGAACTTGGAGTGCCTTCTTGATCAGGTAACAAATTTCCATCTCTTCATCTTCTTTGAAAACTCTGATGATTAAACAATAAACCAGAAAATTAATAAAAACAAAGTCACTTTGGTAATTTATTTCTCTCTTCTTCCTCACGTGTAGGCCTACGTTTTGCAAGACATGGGATGCTTACTAGACTTGGTTGACCCAGTGCTAGGTTCAGCTTACTCAAAAGAGGAAGCAATGGTGATCTTGAACGTGGCGCTAATGTGCACTAACACGTCCCCGGCGTTAAGGCCAAAAATGTCGCAGGTCGTGAGTCTCCTCGAGGAAAAGACCGCAATGAAAAACCTGTTGTCGGACCCAAACTTCTCAGCAGTGAACCCGAAGCTGAAGGCTTTAAGGAGATTCTTTTGGCAGAGCGAATCATCCACAAGCGGACCTCGTACCACTGACTCTGTTGATGCTGAAGAGAACACATCAAAAGACGAAATAGTAGAAGAACCAGAACTTGAGTGTGAGTAATAATTCTCTACACCATATTTGTTTTAAGCAAATGATATGACATTATTGTGACCATATCCAAACTTAGTTTCCAGAAAGAAAAAACTATATATGTTTGTTGAAAATATGGTTATGAAGATGTTTTTATGTTAAACATTCTTAGCGAATTAAAATCAGAACCATGTTATATAACCAATCTATCAATGACTCTTGTGTCTACATTTATTACGTCTTAAACTAACAGTTTTCTCTTTAAAAAAATCATAAAGAAAGATTAATTACAATAACAGTTATATTGTTGTGGAAATGGCGCCGATCTTAGCTAATTCTTTTTTTTTTTTAGTATTATATATGAATATTGATTGTATTAACACTTTACCAACGAGCACACATATTACATACAAGAAGAATAGACATTAGGGATTTGGTAACTAATACAATTTGTTACTTTTCCGGTTTTCCCCCGAATCGATCTGAGGAAAAAAAGGAACCAAAGTGATACTTACTCGTTTGGTTTTTTTCATCACTCTCTCAGTTTAAGATAAATTTTGTTGGAAACTTATCTGAACACTTAAAGTTGTTGATTTTCGAGTTTCTTTTTTCTTTTTTCATTTCTAATTAAAAATAATAATAATCCTTCTGAATCAGAAAGAATGATTTTTGTATCAAAAGATTGATTTTCTTTAGTACAACATTTAATGAGCAGTTAAAGTAAACATTTTCGGGCTCTTTGTTACAGAAGTAGACGCTTTATAAAAAGCCCATAATAAATATGAAGCCCGGCCCATATTTAGGTGGTATCAAAAATCATCCAATTAGGGTTTTTGTTTTTGTTTTTGGCGGTCTCGGTGAAGAAGATGGTGCTGTCGAACAAGAAGCTGAAGCAGAGGATTCGACAAGATTTGGTTAAATCACTATCTGTCTCTGTAGCCGAAACCAATCCACAATCTCAGTCTCTGAAATTGCTCCTTGATTCATCTAGCCACAAACCCAGATTGTCCAAGAGAGAGAAACGAAGAAATTGCGAAACTTTCGCTAGAGAAGACGACGGAGTCACAGAGAATGAAGTTGGGATTGGTGGGTCAACGGAGAAAACTGATACGAAGATTAGAAAGAAGAGAAAGAGAGACGATACTGTGGAGGTCGACGAATTAGAAGGAGATGAAGTAACTAAGGAAGAGGAAAAACCCCAGAAGAAGAAAAAGAAGAAGAAGAAGAAGAAGAAGAGAAAGGTAAACAAAACGCCAAAGAAGGCTGAGGAAGGAAATGTAGAAGAGAAGGTTAAGGTAGAAGAGATTCAAGTTAATAATACAGACAAGTAAGTTTGTTCAATCGACTTTATTTGAAGCTCTGTTTTTTCCAATTTTATCTAAATTAATCGACTTGATGTTTCTTTTTTCCAGTAAAGAGGAAGATGGGGTTGTTCCTAAAAAGTTATATGTTGGGGGTATTCCTTATCAGAGTACAGAAGATGAGATTCGTAGCTACTTCAGAAGCTGTGGAGTCATCACTAAAGTTGATTGCAAGATGCGTCCTGAGGATGGTGCGTTCAGTGGTATTGCCTTCATCACTTTTGAAGTAAGTTTTTTCATGTAACATTGCTGTGTTTCTCCTCTTGGGATATCTGCTTTTTAGTTTTCTAGGACATTGATATGATGCAGCTTTTGTTTTTATAAGAACATAGGTCTTTCTTGTTTTCGGTTTTAGACATTAGAGTTAGTTTAACTTCAGAGAACTAATCAAGGCTTCTTTCATAGTGGCAGATGAACTTAGTTTTTTGCCTTGTGGCTGAAGATAAGACATTGGTTACGTTGACTGTGTGTATTGACATCTTATTTGGTATCATTTCTACAGACTGAAGATGGTGCAAAACGTGCTTTGGCTTTTGATAGAGCTGCAATGTAAGTAGTCTATAGCCGTGACTCAAATATTTAAGACTTCCTTGTTCACATTTGATATGGTTGAGTAATTGTTCTTTACTTTACTTTACTACTAGGGGTGATCGATTTTTGACGATCCAGCAATATGTGAAAACCACCACCCCTTTCGTTCCCAGAAGGAAAACATCTTCTGGCTTCGCTCCAGAAATGGTGGATGGCTATAACAGGGTATACATTGGGAATTTAGCCTGGGACACAACAGAGCGTGACATACGGAAACTCTTCTCTGACTGCGTAATTAACTCTGTGCGGTTGGGTAAAAACAAAGAAACAGGGGAGTTTAAAGGGTACGCACATGTGGATTTCAAGGATAGCGTGTCTGTGGCGATCGCGCTGAAGCTGGATCAGCAGGTTATTTGCGGAAGACCTGTCAAGGTATGTTGTGCACTTAAAGACAGACCAGCTGCAAATATTAGTACAGATCATACACCTGGTGAAACGAACAATGTTGGTTCGTACAACATGGAAGAGACTTATGCTGCTGCTGATCCAATACCGGCTTTAGCTGGGGCTGACGAAGTTAATGACGGAAACTACTTTACAACCACAGTTAGCAGCGGTAAGATCAAAAAGAGGGTCTGTTATGAATGTGGAGAAAAGGGTCATCTTTCTACAGCCTGTCCCAAAAAGCTCCAAAATGCTGATGATCAGGCAAACTCAAAGCTGGGTCAAGAAACTGTTGATGCTGGACCGGCTATGCAAAGCTATGCTCTTCAAAAGAATAGTGGTGATTCTTACTACATGAATGAGACATACGCTGCGACATATGAAACTAATAATGGATACTCAGCATCCGCTGTTAGCACTGGTAAGATCAAAAGGAGAAACTGTTTCGAGTGTGGCGAAAAGGGTCATCTTTCTAATGCTTGTCCCAAAAAGCATCAAAATGCTGATGATCAGGCAAACTCAAAGCTGGGTCAAGAGACTGTCGATGCTGGACCGGCTATGCAAAGCTATGCTCTTCAAAAGAATATTGGTGATTCTTACTACATGAATGAGACATACGCTGCTACAAATGAAACTAATGATGGAGGCTTAGCATCCGCTGTTAGCACTACTGGTAAGGTCAAAAGGAGGAACTGTTATGAGTGTGGAGAAAAGGGTCATCTTTCTACTGCTTGTCCCAAAAAGCTTCAAAACACTGCTCACACAAACTCCCAGCTGGAACACCAGACTGTTGAGGCAGGACCGGTTCAGGTAACAAGCTATAGTCTTCAAACGAAAACAAGAGACACTGAGAACAATGGTGGTTCTTTCATGGATGAGACATATGCTACTGTTCCGATATCTGTTGATGTGACGAATGGAGCTAATGATGCAAGCTTAACATCTGCAGTTAGCACTGGTAAGATCAAAAAGAGAAACTGTTACGAGTGTGGAGAAAAAGGTCATCTTTCTTCAGCTTGCCCTAAGAAGCTGCAAAAACAAGGCTGATCCCACAAGTTCTACAAAGCCAGCTTCAACATTGTAACAAAATGTTTAAGCTTTTCCATTTGAATTTTACGTTTGAGGAATATGGAAAGGACGTGGACCACTTAGAAGAGTGGAGTTTTGGTCCTCTTTTAGAAACCATAAATTTATATTCTGTATTGTCTTATTATCTTTCATAGAATGCTCTAAAAACCAAAAGTATCATATCAGATGAGTCATCAGTTAAATATATTGGTTTTTTCTTGACGCTCCAATTCTCTCTACATTACATAGATCAAGCACCAAGATCTTAAAAATGTTGGCACAAACGAAGTGATAAAGGTAACAAACGAAGAGTCTTGACATAAAAAAGACTGAAAATCCAATAGATTCAAGAGTAGATAAAAGTCTATGCCTATTGGACACTATGAGAGGTATAAGATTTCTCTTAAAACAGTAGATATGGTAGGAAAGAAATGCTGTCTCTGAGACCAATTGCCAAATCTTTATTGAGATGCAGCATAGGTGATGGAAAACAAGCACGTTTCTGTATGATCATCATGGCATGGGTGTACACTGATAGACTTTGTTGGATCGGATGGACCTAGACTTATAGGAATCCACTGTAGCAGAGGCTTGTTATGCAAATGGGTGGCGGTTTCCTTCCATAAGGACACGTCCAAATCTCACCAGAGGACTCATGGGCTATGGGTGACAAACGCAACAATAACTTGTCTTTAAAAATCACTTGGCAACACCTATGGTCAACCAAATGACTGGTACAAAACAATTTGATTCAAAGAAGCGGTTACACGACAGACATTCATAACCTAGACTGCACATTTATTTGCATACAGTAGTTGCATTATAAAACGTTATTATGTGTGTTACCAATCAGAAACTAAATATATAAAGTTGGTCCAAAGGCTCTCTAATTTCTTGGCGGAAAAAACAAAGGCTCTCTAATTTCTAAAATACCCTTTTTTGCTAGTATTAATCAACAAAACAAGTGGCAAAAAAAAAACACCAATGGCCACGTTTTTTTTTTTTTTTTTGTTTTTGAAACTCGAAATCAAATCACATTACCCCAAATCTCTGCTATTTGTACTTTTTAATCTTCTCTCTTTTCTCTATTTGCATGCTTTAAGTTTAAGCTCCAAATTCTCTCTCACAGTTTTCTCAAGTTTTGGTTTAGATGGGACCTATCAAAACGATTAAGAAGAAGAAGAGAGCAGAGAAGAAGGTCGATCGGAACGTATTGCTCGCTGCTGCTGCTACTTCCGCCTCCGCCGCCGCTTCCGCTAACGACGACGGCGACGACGACTCATCCTCTCAGTCTTTGGATTGGTGGGATGGATTCTCTCGCCGTATTTCTGGTATCTCTTCTTTTTGTTTTCTTGGTGGTGTCGTGGTGATTGTGCATTGGCAGAGTTTATGGTTTTTGAAGCATTTTTGCGAATCGAATTCTGGATTCTGATTCGTGGAACTTGCAATTTTGAATGTTGATTTGATTTTTGGGGTTTTAGATGAGAAATTTCATGAAGAGGATAAAAATTCAGATTGGATTTAGTAATGTAGACAAGAGATGTTCTTTAATCTTACTTTGTACATGCGAGTATTGTTTCCATCTATTGATTTGGTACTTTCTGGGTTTGTGAGTTCTTATTCCATTCTGGTGGTGGCTGCTAACTTAAGTGAGCTATATGGATCCATGCAAGTGGTTTTAGTGTAGATGAAGTTGTTCTTAAGGCTCTAGGGTTTGACTTTGGAGCTACTTAGACTCGTCTAGATAACTTTGAGCATGTTTTTTTGCCTGTTTACTATTTTGGTTTTAAATATACGAATCTTTACAACCAATTTGGGAGTAGCAGACTCTGACTAGACTGTGTCTATGTAATCATCCTGGAAGTTAATTTTGTTTTGTAAAAGTTCTCATTGCTTTCTGATTATGACATTATTAACTCTCTGTGAAGATTCAGCCAGATGTTTTCCATGCCTCACTTCAGTAATGAATGTTCTGATTATTGTAGACGTTTTTTGCCTTCTTTCCATTGTCTCTCTTTGTGTAAATTTGCTTGTAGGTCGATGATAATTGATAACCAATTGATAGGTCATTAGGTGCAGATTAGCTCTTCTGCTTTTTCATTCTTCTTTTAGTTTTCCGACTGTTGGATTTAAGCTAGTCCAGTGTTGTATGAGCTATTTAAAGTGATTTAAACAGTTATGGATCAGCATGGTTCTTTTACACCGACTTCATTACCATGTATATATGTCTTTGTATTAAAGAACAGTAAGCTTTATCTTGCATACCTTGTTGATTTTGTAGTTACTATGAGAATGTCATGTATTTTTTATATTTATCTCCTTTGTCAGGAGGGTCAACGGATCCAAAGACATTTGAGTCAGTTTTCAAAATATCAAGGAAGACATTTGACTACATTTGCTCTCTTGTGAAAGCCGATTTCACAGCAAAGCCTGCAAATTTCAGCGACTCAAATGGGAAACCTTTATCTCTCAATGACCGTGTAGCTGTGGCGCTTAGGAGGCTTGGCTCTGGCGAATCTCTCTCAGTTATTGGAGAGACCTTTGGGATGAACCAGTCAACAGTCTCCCAAATCACTTGGCGCTTTGTAGAATCAATGGAAGAGAGAGCAATGCACCATATCTCATGGCCTTCGAAACTCGATGAAGTAAAATCAAAGTTTGAGAAAATCTCAGGTCTTCCTAACTGCTGTGGCGCTATCGACATTACACATATTGTTATGAACCTTCCTGCTGTGGAACCGTCAAACAAAGTTTGGTTGGACGGAGAAAAGAACTTCAGCATGATTTTGCAGGCTGTAGTGGACCCGGACATGAGATTCCTTGATGTAATCGCTGGTTGGCCTGGAAGTTTAAGCGATGATGTTGTCCTCAAGAACTCAGGATTTTTCAAACTAGTTGAGAAAGGGAAGAGACTGAACGGGGAAAAGTTACAGCTCTCAGAAAAAACCGAGCTAAGAGAATACATAGTAGGTGATTCTGGTTTTCCTCTTCTTCCATGGCTTCTCACTCCATACCAAGGCAAACCCATGTCTCTTCCTCAAACCGAGTTCAACAAAAGACACTCCGAGGCAAGAAAAGCCACGCAGATGGCATTGTCGAAGCTTAAAGACAGGTGGAGGATAATAAACGGGGTAATGTGGATGCCTGATAGAAACCGGTTACCCCGGATAATCTTTGTATGTTGCTTGCTGCACAACATTCTTATCGATATGGATGATCAGACTTTGGATGACCAACCTTTGTCTCAGCAACATGACATGAATTACAGACAACGAAGCTGCAAACTTGCCGATGAGGCTTCATCGGTCTTGAGAGATGAACTCTCTGACCAATTGTGGGGGAAAAATTCTTCAGCTTGATTACTCTCTCTCTCTCCCGGTTCTTCTGGTCTTTCTATAAAACCTTTATTTGCTTCTATTTCCTTCTCGTAATTTTGTTTAGCATAGCATTTATCGTTTGATTTGATCTATTGAAATATTCTTTTATGAGACAAACAAAAATGTGTATTTTATGAATGTTATTTTTAGTTTATACAACTTGTACTTTTCATCGACGTCTAAACTCATTGCAATTGTCACTATAGAATGCCGCATAGACTGATTTTTGTCACTGTAATCATTTTTCTTATTGACTCAAGTATGCGATACATAAGAGGAATTGGTTTGCGTGAGAAACAACTAAAGAAGTAGTACATTCTAAATCTCTCTTAACTTCAAAACATTTTAAAACAAAAGGAATAAACAAGTTATAACCAATACATAGACCCAAAAAATACAGAGAAACCAAAGAAAGTCTCATTTTCAACTTAATAGAGCTTTCAGTGATAAGCGACAATGGCTTCTAAAGAAATGGAGGAAGTATCACCCATCTTCTTGGATACTTTGGTTTTCCATCTTTTCCATCAAATATCTGCAATAGCAATATCAAAAAATCCACAATAAGAACTATATATTTTGAGTTTTTTCAGTACCGCTAAAATCATATAGGCTCGAAAAAACTAAAAGATTTTGTTTACCTTTCTCAGACGGCTGTGCTTTCCAAGAGCCCAATTAGTCATGATTAGAGCAGCAACAGCGAGAAAAACATATCCTGCAACAGTCTGAGTAGCGATGTTGAATCCTAGCCATTGGTAAATCTCGGTAGTGTAATTGGCACATGTAACAATGTTGAAGAGGAAACCGCGTGGAATCTGGTAGCCTCCAGACCCATTGGGGTCCCTAAGATTCTGCAGCAAAATGTGACAGTAAAAGTTTGCGACTTGGCAGACCAAACCAAACCCGAAACCAATCTTCATCTGAAGGTCACTGACTGGAGTGTACAAGGGATGGTTGACGTAATAAGCAATGTAAGCACCAAAGCTCCAGTAATAAGCACAGTTCCTGAACACATTCGCGATTGGGGAGGTTGCGTGGCTGAACCGATGAACGAAAAACGTTTCTAAGATCCGTTTGAAGTAGTGAAAGCACCAGTAGTACATAGCGTACGTCTGGACCGGATGGATCACACGGTCCTCTCCATAGCCAAGAAACTTGTAAACAGGGAAGTAGTAAAAGACCGGGTAGATAAGGAGAGGGCCAAGATACTCAAAGAAGAAGAGCGTGCGGTAGGAAACTTGTGCCCCCAAGTCTTTGAAGACTACAGTTAAGGAGTTGGTGTTTCCATCACAGTACTCCTTGAGTGATTTCTTGCTATTGAGGACAACAGGTTTCTCTTTCGATCCAGGAGCCACAGGAAGAGTCAGTCTTTGCCTCGACGGGTAAAACTTCTTAGCTGTTGAAACAACAAAACCCAAATCACACAATAGAAGGAAATACCATAATACATTATTAATTCTATCCAAGATGTCAAGAAAAAGACTTCAAGATCTCTGCTTAATACACTTACAGTAAAGAAACCAGATTAAGATTTGAAGGAAAGAGATATATATACGGTCAAATCATAATGGGGACACACTGATTATACATTGCAGTAAGAAGAAGATTTCAGATAATTGTCATTACAACCTTTTGTCATTAATGGACAATCTAAAGTGAACATTTTTTTGGCTAAAAGGGATTGATCCATTAATGACAAAAGGTTGTGATGATTGATTCAAAAGCAAAACTATGTTTAGATACTTAAGCTTCCACATAGATCTTGATTATATAACCCATAAGCATTAAATTCTAAAAGTAGAACTCAAACACATAAAAACTGCAATAGAAAATGACATTCT